TAAAAAAACTTCTTTTTTAATGAATAGAAATGAAAAAGTCAATTCAAACTTTCATGAAATAATATACCATAACTGAGCTGTAGGAATGTCATGTATTTGACAACTTGTACAAGTAATTTTGGTATGTTCCTAATCTAATGCTACATCGTCGCTATATCTACGTCATGTTACATTAATCATTAACTATTATATGCACATGGCAGTAGTATAATAGATTAATTTAAAATATATATGAAGATTTATCATTGCGCAAGTATTTTGATAAGTTTGTCACACGTACATGAATTTAAAAAACTTCTTTTTTAATGAATAGAAATGAAAAAGTCAATTCAAACTTTCATGAAATAATATACCATAACTGAGCTGTAGTGAATGTCATGTATTTGACAACTTGTACAAGTAATTTTGGTATGTTCACTAATCTAATGTACATCGTCGCTATATCTACGTCATGTTACATTAATCATTAACTATTATATGCACATGGCAGTAGTATAATAGATTAATTTAAATTATATATGAAGATTTATCATTGCGCAAGTATTTTGATAAGTTTGTCACGTACATGAATTTAAAAAAACTTCTTTTTTAATGAATAGAAATGAAAAAGTCAATTCAAACTTTCATGAAATAATATACCATAACTGAGCTGTAGTGAATGTCATGTATTTGACAACTTGTACAAGTAATTTTGGTATGTTCACTAATCTAATGTACATCGTCGCTATATCTACGTCATGTTACATTAATCATTAACTATTATATGCACATGGCAGTAGTATAATAGATTAATTTAAATTATATATGAAGATTTATCATTGCGCAAGTATTTTGATAAGTTTGTCACGTACATGAATTTAAAAAACTTCTTTTTTAATGAATAGAAATGAAAAAGTCAATTCAAACTTTCATGAAATAATATACCATAACTGAGCTGTAGTGAATGTCATGTATTTGACAACTTGTACAAGTAATTTTGGTATGTTCACTAATCTAATGCTACATCGTCGCTATATCTACGTCATGTTACATTAATCATTAACTATTTTATGTTTTTAATGAATAGAAATAAAAAAGTCAATTCAAACTTTCATGAAATAATATACCATAGCAGAGCAGTAGTGAATGTCATGAAGATTTATCATTGCGCAAGTATTTTGATAAGTTTGTCACGTACATGAATTTAAAAAACTTATTTTTTAATGAATAGAAATGAAAAAGTCAATTCAAACTTTCATGAAATAATATACCATAGCTGAGCTGTAGTGAATGTCATGTATTTGACAACTTGTACAAGTAATTTTGGTATGTTCACTAACCTAATGCTACATCGTCGCATATGCACATGGCAGTAGTATAATAGATTAATTTAAATTATATATGAAGATTTACCATTTTGATAAGTTGTAAGTGCAACTTGACAAGTTACAGTTTTTAGTTAGTATTAAGTTGGAGTCTGACCTGTGAGATACTGTCCTAGTGGCGAAGTCCAAGTCCAGTCCGGAGATCCCAGCCTCCTGGAGAAGAGACATTCCAGATGAAGGGTAGATCCTGGAAAGACGGCCAGCTCACCTCCAGGCTCCACCGAAGCGGACCCAGACGGGATCCTTATCAGGATCGTAGGCGGCGAATCCTCTGCAAACGAAGGTCGGAAAATTAAACACGTCCGTCCATCCCATAAATCAAACTTTTATTTATACATGCACCCATGCGAGCAATACGGGAACCATCAATTATTTATCAATTACCACCGTTCACAGAGATCGATGGCCATTAATCATGACCGGCAAAGAAACGGGATTAGCATAGATTCCGAGCCGTTTGCCGTCCGTTTGAAAGCGAGTCGAGGGCCCGGACGGAATGCTGCTGCGGCCCTTTGATAACCCACTCGAATCTAATGGATATATATATATCGTAATCATTTAAACGCGCCTGGACGATTCACAGAAAACCTTTTGTCCGTTTCCATTCTTTCAATTGCATCTGCAGAATTGAAAGGAATTTCTTCAATTATTCCACATGCCCTCTCTTCTCTTTACCCATTTGCATTACATCAATGTTATACTTTATTTTTGTATCCTTCTCGTTCTATTAATCTTCCCTTATTACTATTACTTTAGTCGTTATAAATTGTGACTTGCAGGATATACGAGAAATCTGCGATATTTTTCTCGAGCGGAAATTGTGTGAGATATGGGAGGAATCGTTATGATAGTTTGTTTTGAACTTTAAATAGTGTTCCAGGGCGTGTCTAGCGGACGACAACGGAAAAATATGCGGAAAACGCGAAGAATTCCCAAGGAGGACGCAAACCCGAAGGCTTTCAAAAACTTTATTGACATGCATCGAAATGAGCATGAATATAAACCGATCTCTCGTCGTCGTTCACTTTACTCTAACCATCTACCATCCTCACTACAAATATAATAAAAAAAAAACAACTAATGATAGATGTTCTTCCAAACGCAATTTCCAATTCATAACAATTTAATTCAATTGAAACACCGCAGATTTAATAACAAAAATTTTAATAAAGTTTCAAGCGTTGGATGTTGAAAATAAAATATTAGCTTCTTTGCAAAAAGAAATATCTTGAATAACTTCTGAATTCATCCACTTTTTCTTACGCAATTCAAGATGCGGCAGCAGAGACCGAAAACCTTTTGAAGTCAACGTAGGTCGAATTCCCAAGGATTTCTCTCTCCATCCTTCACAGTAAAAGTTTCTAGACGCATAGTTTAACAAGAGAGGCGCAAAATTCTTTAATCCGCAATATTAAACAAACCGCTTTGCGAAAACAAAATGTAGATTTCAATAATGCGGAAAAAAAATGAATGAATTCAAACGTATTTGAGAGCAGTAAAATTTTAAAATCGAATTTAATATAATGGAGCCAATAACGTTTTCAGTGTAAATAGATTAATTGTTTTATTTGCGGATTGCAGGGGCCGAAATACATTGGGAAACAATGCATTTCGTGCAAATTAAACGAACGTGCGTTAATTGCGCCAAATCGCTTGTAAATGTTTTAATTCGATTTCGAACAAACAAAAAAAAAAAGATTGAATCCAGGTGGAAAATCCCAATATTAAATACACGCAATTTACACACACACAACGTATAAATCAATCGAATTTTCTTTTAAACTATTGTTGAAAAATGCAATTGATAGCGTTTCTTTTCGAATTGGATTAAGGGAACAGTTAAAACCGCTTCGAATTTTGCAAAATGGAAATAAATCGTGTTAGATCGAGCGCAATGAACGGGTCGATGTTGCGGTTTTACGAAATGCAATTATTTTTCATTTGATGTTCACCGATGGGAAATATCTGCTGCAATATACATTTTTTTTTAGGTGGTAATTGTATATTGGTATGCAAAATTGATTGAGGCTTACCTGTGAAGTTGGTGAGCATTGTTGTTGGGACGCAGGATGGAAGCTTCGCAGACCATAGGCCGTTCTGGCATTGCGGAGTCGCGAAACCGAGGAGCTTGTACAAGCCCACCTCTCGGCATCGGATGTGCAGTTTGGACCCATGGGGAAAGACCCAGCCGGCCGACTGGAAACCCACCAAGAAAAAGAACTTAATCAGAACTTCCACCATCAAGACACGCCGTTTCTGCGGAACACGACCGCACAACAACAACAAGATAAACAATAAACGCCCTCCTGAGGGGACTAAATTTATCCCCTGAACTCAGCTTATTTAGAAACGAATTCTGGTGGTTAAGACGTAATACGTTAAGTAATTTGGTGGAAACTGATTTCAAAGTTAATATTCAATGAAACAACCCCAATTTATTAACTTTTCCGCATTACAAAACAAACAATTAGTTTAATTACTTTAATTCAAATCGGCGATATCAATAAACATAAATCGTTTAATTTAATTTGACGCGTTTCCGAATTTATCGTGCACAGTTTTTAATTGAAATATCGAATGGGATCACGATAATGCGCGCTTGAAAAGTATTTTTTTTTAGTGGTAATAACGATAATAACGCAAAACACGAAGTAATTAAGCGTAATTTACTTGCGGGCGTTTATCTGCGCTCGGTGCCATCGCGATTGCAATAATCATAATTATCCGCTTCCGAAATTTTGGTTTAATCTTCCGCCCGAAATTTATAATTACGTAACGGTTAGTAAACTGAAAAACAAGTAAATAAATAAATGAAAAAAAAATAACAAGACGATTATTTTCTTTCATACATAAAACAGAAGGAAATGAATTATGGGGTGAACGTTGCCCTTCGAGATTTATGTTTCCGTTGAGCTGCGCGAAAAGTTTCCTCCTCGTGAAGAACAATATTGGCGTAGGCCGTATATTTTGTGGCGATAAAACGAAACACTTGAGTGGATCATATAAATTTCGTTTTCACTTCGGTTCGCGTTATCTGACGTAATTACGTGACGATGAATTGTTTTCATTTTGTTTGTTTTTCTTCTAGCCATGGTGGATGCGCCGGTTCTTTTTATTATTATAAATTTAGATATACTCACGGGTATCGAGACGTTCCTGAAGGTAACCAAGAGATGTGGGTTGATGTATTCGAGTTTGCAGCTGCGGAAGAGAGGATGGAAACGGCCGTTATCTGGAAAGAAGACGAAGGCGGGTTATCATTCCTTCCGACATAATAGAGAGACGGGAAATGGATGGATGGATCGGAAGAGAGAACGTTGAAGCGATGTAGCATTTACTTTATTTTCGGTGCAGTTTCTAGATTAATTCACCGAGACAAAGTTCTTTTTCAACGCAGATTGCATTGATCATATTGAAACTTAACTTAACAATTTCTTATTAGATACTGAGTTTTAATAAAATTGTTTATTTTCATTACAATTATATGAAGTTGATTATGTTAACTTTAAAGAAATCTTATAGAATTTAAGTTTTATTACTTAACTTTAGAAATCAGAGTTTTTGTATTTATAATCAAAATTTCAATACTAAAATTATTAATAAATTGGAAAATATAAGTGTTTAATTATTTAAATTTCCCGCAACTTTTCAAAATCTAATTGTTTGTTTTAAATGAGGGATGCGTTCTTTTTCAACGCAGATTGCATTGATTCAAAACGATGAAGAATATCCATTTTTTTAATTGAATCAAATTGAAACTTAACTTAACAATTTCTTATTAGATATTGAGTTTTAATAAAATTGTCAATTTTCATTTATGCTTACTTACAATTATATGAAGTTGATTATTTTAACTTTAAAGAAATCTTATAAAATTATTTAAGTTATGAAATCACAGTTTTTGTATTTATAATGAAAATTTCAATAATTAAATTATTAATAAATTGGAAAATATAAGTGTTTAATTATTTAAATTTCCCGCAACTTTTCAAAATCTAATTGTTTGTTTTAAATGAGGAATGTGTTTTTTTTTTCAACGCAGATTGCATTGATTCAAAACGATGAAGAATATCCATTTTTTTAATTGAATCAAATTGAAACTTAACAATTTCTTATAAGATACTGAGTTTTAATAAAATTGTTAATTTTCATTTATGCCTACTTACAATTATATGAAGTTGATTATTTTAACTTTAAAGAAATCTTATAGAATTACTTAACTTATGAAATCACAGTTTTTGTATTTATAATGAAAATTTCAATAATTAAATTATTAATAAATTGGAATTATAATTATTCAATTATTTAAATTTCCCGCAAATTTTCAAAATCTAATTGTTTAATTTGATTGAGGGATGCGTGTACTTCCATTAGAGCAAATGCGAAACTATCAACCAATGAGAAAAGATATCTTCGATTAATGTGAAGCGATTTTCAACCAATAGAAATCGGAAGCGTTCGAGCGTGTGTGCCTGCCGTAGACGAGTTTTTGCGCCTAGGCCTATCGCACATTCCATGTGCTCGATGTATCGGAAGAGAATCTTTAAAATGCGTGAGTAAGAGTGAGACGGAGGGATGGCGCTTAAGAAGAATTTACGATTTGTTTATGTGGCATTCCTGAGAGAACCATAAATTATCCGCATTTGACGTTAGTGGGTCAACGATAATCTACTACGAATTCCATTCCATTGTATACTATTTATTTTTTCAATTGAATTCATTCAAATATTTCAATTTATCTTCAATTAAATTTACATTTCATTCAAAATATTATATAACTACTGATCATGTTTATCTTACCCAATGTTTCAACATAATTTAAGTTTTTCTTTCAAAAGATTTTCAATTAATTTCAATGTAATTTGCATTGGTTGCATTACGTAAGTTTTTAACATAATTCACATTTTTATTTCTCAACTTTTTCATTCCAATGTCACGTGTTCAGTTACATCAACCTACATTTTATTCGAAAAATTATATAACTACTTATCATATTTATAATTACGCAAGTTTTTAACTAATGTATATTTTTGTTTCACGTTTTCAATTGATTGTCACGTAACTTTACTTTCAAATTGCCTTTACCAAGTTACTTGGTAAGTAATGAGTGATAAGTGAAATTTATATAAACAACTCACCTTAATTTTCTATTACTGTCACTGTAAATTACATTGTTTACATCTCCCATGACAACCATATTACATATAATTAGTTAGTCCATTGCATAATCAAGTTCAACTAATATTTTTATAACATTTTTTTACTAAATTAATCAATGAAATTGATAGTTAATCATTACATTGAGTATATTAAGTATACTAATTTTTCTAAATTGCCTTTAAAAATGTAATACTGTCAACGTCAAAAAAAAACAAATGTCTCCCATAGCAACGGTACAAGATTACAATTAATGTGAGTTTCTATAGCAATATTAAAAAAAAATATAAATTTAATATTTTTTCTCGTCAATTATTAGTTTCTTTTTATATTAAATATTATATCAAAAATATTGAACATAAAAAAAATAATAAATAAAGGAAAAGTTTAATATATTTACAAACAGCGTGTATATATAATAAATCACAATCAATTGAATTCATTCAAATATTTCAATTTATCTTCAATTAAACTTACATTTCATTCAAAATGTTATATAACTGTGATTACGCAAGTTTTTAACTAATATATATTTTCGTTTCACGTTTTAAATTGATTCTCACTTAACTTTACTTTCAACTTGGCTTTAACAAGTTACTTGGTAAGTAATGAGTAATAAGTGAAATTTATATAAACTACTCACCTCAGTTTTCTATTACTGTCACTGTAAATTACATTGTTTACATCTCCCATGACAACCATATTACATATAAATAGTTAGTCCATTACACAATCAAGTTCAACTAATATTTTTTTTAACTAAATTACTCAATGAAATTAATAGTTAATCATTACATTGAGTATATTAAGTATACTAATTTTTCTAAATTGATTACGTAAAAGCCTTTAAAAATGTAATACTGTCAACGTCAAAAAAAAAACAAATGTCTCCCATAGCAACGCTACATGATTGCAATTAATGTGAGTTTCTATAGCAATATTAAAAAAATATAAATTTAATAATTTTTCTCTTCACTTATTAGGTTTTAATTTATATTCAATACTGTATCAAAAATATTGAACATAAAAAAAAAGTAATAAATAAAGGAAAAATTTAATATATTTACAAACTGCGTGTTACGTCACAACATCAACTTTTTTCTTCCTCTTGTATGTATTTATTCCGTTTCTCCTTGACCTTTCTTAAAAGGTCTCCACTTTTTTTTTTTGCACGACTTTCCTCCACTTTCGCCGAGGCAGTATCTTTCAATTTGCCGCGAATTTATTGCTACGTTATTGCTTAACCAGGGACCTGCCTTTACCTGCTGTAACTATCGAGTCTATCCGACACAGTCTGTGGTTTCAATTTACTCCAATTTATTTACGACCACATCCAATAGTCTACTCTCACAACAACCCTATTTTTATTGAAGAAAAAAAATTGAAAAATAAAATACAGAATTACGTAAAGTTTAATGATTCAACTGAATTATCTATTTCTTAATTTAAACAATTTTTCTATTGAATAAAATGAAGAGTATGAATGAAAACTTTGTTAACATTTCTATTGGAACAAATTCTTCACGATTGAGTAATTGATGTAATATAAATTCTTTTTATAGTTTCTATTGAATCAAATACGAGTATAAGTGAAAAAAAATGTATTGGACGTAACTTGTTTATAAGAAAAGCTCAGTGTATAATTCTTCTTATGACAATGAACAGATGCTTGTTATTGCGGTCGCCGTGGAGAGGACACAATTAGGAAAAATCCATTAGTCTCGACCATTTTCTCCTTTTTTTCTTTCTCTTCCACTGGAACCTCTATTTCTTTATTATCTTTCTCTTCAGCTACACGCAACGAAGATCACAAAAAAAAAGGCGATGATAAATCCACATTCTATTTCTTCTCTTCTCTCTCTCAAGTTTGCTGCTTTTTTTTTCTACTTTTATTTCAATTTACTTTCAGTTCATTTCAACTCTGATGCTGCAAATTAACTTAAGAATATTCTTCATCTCGGTGAGCTTATTAATGTAACATCGCCCGTTGGGAGTAATTCCGTGTGCAGACCTAATGGACCAGGGCTCCGCTTAATTATTTCATATGTATTCATTATTTTCATCTCTCTCTCTCTCTTTCTCTCTTAACAGTTTTATCTGAGTACCAGTTCTTTTTTTTTTCTTTCGGCTGTTGCACGAGAGAGAAAGAGAGAGAGAGAGTACACACGTATTTCGTGGCTATCGCTGTTAAAATGTCTTTTTTAACATCCCTCTAAAAAAGCAAAATATACAATTTGCATACTCGGCCGAATTTATAATCTCCACTCCGGTGTAATTGCGGCTGTAATTCCAAACGAATTTCATCCTATTCTATTATTTCGTTACCAAAGCGAGTTACGTGCATACTTCAACCCTTTAAATTCAGTCTGCGCTTCAAATTATTCATATCAAAGTATAGATCTACATAATTTTACACACATAAAACTTTTAAAAAAATTAACATTTATCAATGATTTGCAAACCAATTAATATAAAACTCAATTCTGACTCAATTTTTGCTATTTTATAAATTTAAAACTACATTTTTTTTTTAATTTCGTTCATTTTTACTGCTAAAATATTACGGTTAAAAAATATATGTTTTCTCATTATTTGTTTAACCAATAGAAATTATTTAGGATAAAGGGTTGTTTTCCTATTTCTTAAAAAATCTGCTATTTACACACAAAAAAATTGTTTAAAATTACATTTTTTTTTTGTGTGGAAATAGCAGAAGAACAAGGGGATTCCTCGAGGGTGAAACTCGCTCGTGATTTACGGGCGTATTTAAGTAAGTTACGGCTGCACATAAAAATCTCAGCAAACAGCTATTTTGCATGGAAAATATCGAAGCAATATCTTTTGCGCAATTTTTATCGTCCGCGCCGTCGCGACGCGTTTGCAACAAAATTCGCAGAAGAGAAAGGAGATAAAAAAAAAAGATACAGTTTGCCTAATTAATGAGGCGACCTCAGCGGAATCGGATTTACAATGCAAATTTCCATTTAATTATTTAGTGATTTATTTACGGAAAAACCTTCGTTGTTCTTTCTTTTATTTATTTCTAAATTTAACTTTTAGTTCAATTTAATTAAA